AATATAACGTAACTCCAGTGTCCAATTAAAACTTTAAGGTCTTGAAACTATGCAGTTCGTAAATGATTACAAAACTGTAAAATTTTGTGTTCATGGTTTCTTGAATATACCAATTGTAAACGATTTCAAAACCGCAAAGGAAAAAAATCGTTCCTAATCGTAAACTTTACCATTTATCTGATGGATAGTTATTTTACAGTAATTTTAGAGTAGAAATTTGAACAGTGTACGTGAAAATCTGACCAATAGTTCAAAAGTTCCTTTTTATAACCTATGTGAGATGTTCCCTTTTTGCACACTGTATCGACAGCAAGGAAATCATTATTAAAATACATCATCTCACATATTATTGTTGACTTTATTTACTATGCTTTTGCAAGGTATTCCTTACAGCATAACAGTTTCAATCTATCTAGAAATATATATTCGATATCTCTCTGAAATTATGTATAAATTATATTACCATGCGTATCTCTATAGGTGCATGTATTTAAATATATATATATATTTCTAGATGTTTATGAATATATATGGAAATATATATTTCTGTATTCCTATTAATTGATAAATTTGCTCTATCTTTGGATAGAGTCAAAACGCATCAAACGTTTTCTTGTTTGACATTTTAAAAATAGACATGTCAGCAATTTCTTATATTGAATATAACCAATTTTAAACTATCAGATTTTTTATTCATTCTTACATATATTTTGAATATCTTATGTATTAATTCAATAAATAAATTTATATTATTTTATTTACTAAACGGATATTTTATGTTTTAAAGAGTTTCCTTAAGTTAAAATATATTTCTTTTTTATATATAAACATAAGAATGTTTGCTACTTGTTTAAAAAACTCAGGTTATGAACCCATAAAATATTATTCAAATACGAATTATATAATAAAAATAATTGATTAACTTGTTAAATAAAGCAATAACCTAAATAGTTCTTCGTATTTTAACTTATCTACAAAGCTTGAATCAATATTAATATTTGGTTGTAAAACTTGAAAACACCATATTCAATATTACTTTAACATTCGTGAAACTTGAATTACCGAATAAAAATAGAATAAATTTAGTATAAAAGGTAGCACTGGGATCATATGCAATTTTTTACGACTGAACCATCAACTATTCGAACCAACTTAGTACTCTTCTGAAAAAAAAAAGAAAAAAATGGTTGAAATCTTTTTCTCCGTACTCATAAACTTTCTAACGACGCGAGAATGCTAGCAGACAGACTTTATCTGCGTTTGACTTTCCTTTCCGACTTAGTTTAATACCTTATTTCTCTTTTTATTTTTGATTATTTTACTTTTTGATCCCTTCAGACTTCCAAAAGAACTTTAAAGTCGATATTTTGGATTTTTATTCTTACTTTTAAATTCGAAAATACATTTGTTTTATTTCCTTTTAGCAATTTAATAAAGAAAAAAAGAAGAATGAATTAAAAAAACAATGAAACGTCATTATTTGGCAAGGTGCTGTATTTTTAATAATCTTAAAATGTATATTGCGAAATATAATCCATGCATATATCTTTATACTTTCGTTTAACTTAATGGAGCAAAGAAAATATGATGAAAAAAGGAAATAAAATTAGTTACTTTCGTGGTGAACTATTAGTCTGAGAGCTGCAATTTTTCGACAGCAGATGGGGATCCAACATGGCTGATGATAGACTATTACAAAAATTCTTTCATCAGCCGTATATAACAGTATCACAGTATTGAGAAAGATATTTAAATATTCAGGATAAAAATAAATTTTAATTTAAATTAAAAAGTGAACTGCAGTGCACTGCCTTTCTTTTTAACAAATGTACGATTGCTTAATTTATATTTGCAATTTGGTATTCTTATTTTATACAATATTAAAAGTTTTATTAGAAATTTAAACAGAACGTATTTGATTATATTATCAACTAGGTTTTGAGAATTTTATGGTGGGATTAGAGTGTCTTTTATTGATTTAAGTTTACAAAGATCAGCAACTTTTTTAAATGTGCCAAAATATTAGATACAAGAAGGAAATTTGTTGAACAGTGGGATTTTTTCAGTAAAAAGGTAACTAACGTTTCATAACCAATGAAAAAGTAACTAATGTAACTTATTACACACCATAATATTTAATAATAAGAAATTATACAAAATATTAAGGCAACGTAATTTCCTTTTCCTTTTCTAACGTCAGATTTTTATTTAAAACTATCAAATAATTTAAATAAACTGGGGTATTTGTCCGAATTTGGGGAGGAAAATCTACGAAAATTGTGTGAATGATTATTTCATTTCAAGTTAGTACCAAATATAGCATTCTTACACACTTCAAAGGGTGTGATTAAATCTAAACACCAATAATTGATAAAACCTATACCAGTCTGCAGCTCGTTGGTAAAGAAAGTAGTGTTTTATAATAATTATAATTATGCACTATAGGGGGGAGGTGTACATTTAAACTATTTAATTAAATTCTTGAGTTAAGTGATAGAAGAGCATGCTTCTAACGCATAACAAATTCTTTTGGACCATTACTATAAGCTAAAGTAAAAGTAATGTTGAAGTTTCAAGATACTGTCAATATGGCGGCAATTATAGCGGTTTGCTCAAATGAAGTATATTGATGAAATATGAGTGCTTCCTGTCGGATTCAATTTTCAAACTGGTAATAGCCAAGTGAATATCAATCCCTTTAACGATTGATAAAAATATTGGTTGTGATCGATTATTTGCAAAGTAATTCCAACTTTTTTATTGTATTGATTTGACTAACTACTCATATAAACTGTTATAAAATAGATGCATGTTTTTAAATTTATAGTAAAGAATTTTCTGTTCTTATATGATTTTCACAAATTTGTCAATTGTACAAAATATTTTTATAATATTTAACTTCTATTCACCTTGGTTTTGTTCGAATTCATGTAAAGATTCTGTCCTTACTCTGTGTACGTTTGATAAATAAACTAATTCAATTTTAAGAAATATTGTATATATACACCCTACATTTATGATTCCTCAGTTAAAACCATCGTAAAAGTAGCTTTATTGATACTTAAGTGTATTATATCTTGCTGTTTTTATAAATTTTAGCGATACTGAACAACAAACACGGCGGCATTTACACCAAGCAGTGTAAAAGAACATTCTAGGTTTTTCGCTACAACATAAACTATCTTTGGTTTTGGTGTCGTGGAACACTTAGTTAAACACTACTTTGGTGTGACGCAGTTGCAATCATTTTTTGTGTTCAGATACATGGAATTTTTTTTACAGAGTAAGCAAAATAAAATAAAAAGAATAAATAAGATGTAAGATCCTGTAGTTCTTGTGAAAATAATTTTACAGCCAGAATCCGTGTTAAAAAAACTCAATAAATGTCAAGTGTATGATTTTTTTTTCTATGACTATGATTTATGAGCTAAACAAATGCATTAAATATTGGATAAAGTTTTTTTCTTTATCTTATATTCATCATTATTTTTAATTTAATGACGAACAAATAAGTTTTTAAGTGCATTTAAATGTTGAAATTTTTTGTTAAAGAATTTAATTGAATGCATGTTGATTGCAGTTGTTGTGTCACAAAACTTTAACTATGGAGTGACTGAGTAGCTGCTGCTGTTTTTCTCTTAACGCAGAAAAAAAAAATGAGAAAAAAAAGAAACATTATTTCGTGTAGTCGAAATAGCTCAGATGAGAAAGCGCGTGACTCTCAGGTTCAAATCCCAGAGATGTCTAGATAATTAATTTATGACTCCCGGATAGCACCACCACACTAAAAGACGGGTCATGGGTCAGTGCTCCCTTGTCATCGAATTAACCGTGGGAGGTTTTCGTGGCTTTACTCTCCATGTAGCGTGAATGCAAGTTTGTTATACTTACAAAGTTCTTCATGATGACAAGCTTGTATCAATACTTGATATAAACTCCAGGAGTTCTCTTGTCTTCTGGGTATGGTTCTGAATTGCAAGATTCTCGAGTTGAACCTCGATACAGCCCTTAATCTGCATTGGATCGACAGTTCGACACCTATGGTAAAATAAAATAAATTTGTTTCGATCTATGTTAGGATGTGTTGGTGTTTGTTTATAAATTTTATTTTAAAACATTGTTGTAAATGGGTTTTAAGCAATGTAAGTTTCGTCAAGTTGTTAATAAATATGAAATTTGGAATATGATTCTAAAGATCAGCCTATTTTATAAATAAATACTCATTAACGAGACATTTTTACAAGATGTGTATGTTTAAATATCTACCTATAATCATATCATATAACTTTCTATAATCTAACCATATATTATATGATGCCAATATATAAAATGATAATCATATCATATAATATATAATCATATAATTTTCTGGTCCTTTGTCACTTACGCACATCTTGAGTCTACTTCTAAGACTTTTCAAATAATAAAAAATCCATCACGCATGATCTATCAAAATTTTAATAAAATAAGAATATCTTTGATTCTTTTTTTTTTCACTCACAAGTTTCACGCAACTGATATTAAAATACCAATTTCAAATTTATTCATGCAAAAACCGCAAGTCCTCCAAGACAGAGAGAGATTGAAAGAGGGGAAAGAAAAAAGCACACGAAAATCTTTTATCGGTTTAAAACTATAAACAGAACTATAACGGCAAAATGAAAGAAGCATATTTCATGTGACTTCTGATCAATAAACTAAAAAGAAACTATAAAAATAAAAAGATGTGAAAGTTTCCACTCAAAACCAATTTTCGAACGGAAAGACGGGGGTGGAGGACAAGAGGTTTGTATGCGTGTAATAATTTAATCGGAAAGACGGCAACAGCCAAAAAACTATTTTCTCAAAAAAACATTTAGGAGTCGAAGTAAATAATGAATTATCCTTTTTTTCCAGACATCGAATCTGAGTAATAAATAAAAAAACAATCACTCAGCTATGGTTTTCTCCAAGAGTTATTAGCAAAGGTGTATTGCGGAAAAAGCGAAATACCGCCATCTAGCGGTTAGAATCCGGGAAAATCCTGCGCAGTGGAGGCTGCGCGGAAAACACTGCAGTGGTCGATTCCGAGGAGTGAAGAAAGACGGAGAAATTTTCCTGTCTGCATCAAATTTTCCTCATTTCTGGATAATAATCCGTGGATCGGGCTGTCATCACAAGAATTCTCCTGACAGTGCGAGGAGAAGTCTCTTCTTGTGAAAGAGAAGTAAGTAATGAGTTTTCCCATTTTTAGGAAATATGAAAACCGGCATGCTATATGTCCATCTCCTGTTTTCTTTTCCCCTATCCCCTTTGTTGTTCTAGAGTAGGTGTAGAGACCGTAATAAGCGGCGAATGACCAAAACGGGAAAAGATTTCTGTTTTGGGCGGATAGTTTGAAGACTAGAGCGTTGGAGAAGTTTGATAATAACATATTTCATTTAACTATTATAGTTCATTAAAATCTAGTAATATTTGTGTACCTTTTTTCAAAGTGCGCTAGCTTAATCACGTCATCAACATAACTACTTAATAGAATTATGTTATGAACTGCTATGCTTTGACACAGTACAAAGGAGTTAAAGGAATTTGAAAGTTTTTGAAAGAAAAAAAAAGTTTGAAATTATAAATGCACTATTGTGCAAAGTTTACGTTTTCCAAACTCAGTCACCGGCTGATCCTACCGGCTTGTATAATTTATATCTAACTCAGTCACTGATTGATACTTTAAAAAAAAATGCCACTGATGAAAAAAAAAAATAAAAAGAATTTGTGAATACGTTTTTACAAATGCTTGAGATATTAATTTCAAACTTATTTACATAAACAAATTTTTTTTTTTAAATTCGATTCCTATTCTTGAAAATATTCGTTGAAAAATGAGATTTGATTCCTATTTTTTTTCCTTTTTTAAAAATAGAATAGTGTTTAATTCGTTGAAAAATAAGATTTGATTCCTATTATTTTTTTTTTTAAATAGAATAGTGTTTAGTAAAATTTAGTATCTATTTCAGATGAACAGAGTATTTTATCTAAATTATCTTAACTTTTGCTTACAAATAATTTTTAAATGTTGATTTACAGAACGATATAATTTTTACTGTTTTTTTAATAAAAGCAGAAAAAATTATTCAGAGTCTTTAATAATTATCTTTCCTTAATGTATTACTCACGTTTTTTGATCGTCAATAGATTTTATCAGAAGATTTGCGATTATAAATAAAATGTAATTCCATAACAAATGCTTTTAAAAAAATTTTTAATAAATTACTGCATTTGCAACTTTGAAAACTGGAGGAAACTGTTTAATAATTTTTCTGCAAAATGAGAAATGTTATTGGCTTACATTTTTAATTTACTGGACGCATCCAAATTGATAAATTATGGAAATAAATCTAACAAATATATTTGAATTCCTGCGATTTTTTTAATACCAAAACTGTGTTTTTTTGCTTTAAAAATTTATTATAAAAGAAATATTTTATTCGAAATATAGCAATTTTTTGATAAGCTACAATAAAGTATTACTAAAATATATCGTTACACCTGCAATTGAATATGTGTTTTAAGAAAAGAGTAACAATACCATCATCTAGCTTCCTTTTGTGTAGTAGTTATAACTTACCAGAAACATAAAACTTTCAACGCGCTCACTGTAAACAAACCATAAACAATAAAATGACCTTTTAAGTACTATTTATATATATTTTTTGAGTTCGTTATATTGCTTCTAAACACGCTAATATGAAATTGTTACTAAAGGGCACTGTTTTCCTGAGAAAACAAGTGAATTAAGTTAAAATTAGAGTTCTTTGATATAATTTGGTGACGTATTTTATCATGTTTTACAGCGTATGTTGAATTGTAGGGGAAAATGTGAATTCATATGTATCTTAAGACAAATTAAATATTTAAATAATCTTTTGAAACAAAAAATAATAATTCTCATAGACTACATAAAAGTTTGATTCTGAATATACCATATACCAAAACAATATTTATTTATTGCGTAAAAAAATTGAATTAGTAGTTAATATTTTTTTCTTCAAAATTTAATATCATCCCTCAGGTTAGATCATGTTTTGAAGTGAGCAATTTTAAAAGGGAAATAGTTTTTGCACAAATTGATATCGTTCTTCAGGTTAGATCACATTTCTAAATGAACAATTTTAAATGGGAATTGTTTTTTGAAAAATTTAATATCATTCTTTAGATTAGATCCCGTTTCGAAGTGAACAATTTTGAATAGAGATTTTTTTAATAAATTGGATATCATCCTTCACGTTAGATCACTTTTCGAAGTGAACAATTTTGAATAGAGATTTTTTTTATAAATTTGATATCATCCTTCACGTTAGATCACTTTTCGAAGTGAACAATTTTGAATAGAGATTTTTTTTTATAAATTTGATATCATCCTTCACGTTAGATCACTTTTCAAAGTGAACAATTTAGAATAGAGAATTTTCTTATAAATTTAATATCATCGTTCACGTTAGATCAGTTTTCAAAGTGAACAATTTAGAATAGAGAATTTTTTTTATAAATTTTATATCATCCTTCACGTTAGATCACTTTTCGAAGTGAACAATTTCGAATGGAGAATTTTTTTTATAAATTTTATATCATCCTTCACGCTAGATCACTTTTCGAAGTGAACAATTTTAGAGAACAATTTTAAATTATTATCTTAGCAGTTAAAGAAACCACTTGCTCTATTAAAATATAACAAATATAACGACCAAATCAATTACAGCAAACGAATGCGATTCGTGTAAAATATGTTAATTTATCACTGATGAAATATGTCGCAACTACAATAATCAATTTTTAAAAAAAAATTAGAAATTCTTTCTTTCCAAAAAAAAGTTTTAACTTAAAATTTGCTTTTACTTTTCTTTCCTAAAGTATTTATAAATCAATTAATTAAGATATTTAATTGAAATTTGAAGCTATTTTCAAAATAAACTTCATTTCAACAAAATTGTTTTGAGAAATGCTTTTCCTATAAATAACACAATGATTTCTCATAGCTAAATATAGTTCAAGTATGATCTAATGTAATCTGCATAGAAACCGAACAATTTTGCTCAAAACAAACTTGACTGGAAACCAAATGAGGGCAAATTGCTTTAAAAGCGCTATTCGAGAGATGATTAATGATTATCATGAATCCTTACTTTGGGACAGGAGCGAATTTTCTTGTTTCTTTACACTACTTAAGTATTATTAGATTATTCTAAAAGCTCATTAATAAAACTAAATAAATAAATATTTTAAATAAAATTCATAGTTATTGAACCATTTGGTTTTCAATAACGCCTTAGCTGAATTCTTTTTTTTTTTTTTTTTTTTTTTTTTTTTTTTTTTTTTTTTTTTTTGTGACAATCGTTGTGATAATCGCTTCGAAAAAATCATTTATGGTAACCACTTTTTTATGAATTTGTGATTAAAAGAATATTTGAATGCAACATCCTAAGTATAGTTTAAAAATGATTGCAAACGAAAAATAAATGTCTGTATACGAGTGTGAAAGTTGTTTAGAAGTCTTATTTAAATACAAGGTTTGTCAAAAGAATATGTTTTCAAATTGCACCTTCAAAGCGGTAATATATCTACTTCCTAAATAGATACTCGCAAGAGAAGTCACGAGAGAGTCAGTCAATAAGGTTTGACAAAAACGCGTGACGTCGCTTCCAGGTATGCAATTAAATTAAATCGAACATTTGATTCAACGGGATAATAAGTCCAAACTTAAGCTGATAAAGTTGCAACCGACGCTAACATGCCAGCCACAATCTTGTGATTACAAGTACCCAATTAAATATCACAACTTAGTCTAACGCTAAAACAACAATAAAATTAATTGAAAGTGCACTTTTCCTAACTACATTCTAATTTAATTAATAATGGTTTATTCCTGTTATATATTTTACCAGTTACTAAAAACTTCAAGTAAAGAAATGGTGGCTTTTATCTCATTTGATTTAATTTAATCTGAATGATAACAAAATTCCATTTTGAAATAGCGTTCTTACATCTGAATATTTTGGTTATTTTTTTTAACAAGAGTAAATACGTAAATTAAATTGGAAAAACCGTTAAATTTTAAAAAATCAAATAAGTGAAATATCTTTCAAAATAAAAGATAAAAAAATAAATGATGCCATATGGGTGAATAATATGATAACGTTTAAAGGTAAATTTATTTTTGAATTAGAGAGTTCTTTTATTAAAATATAAAATATTGAAAAAAGTTAATTTCAATAACTGTTGAATGTCTACTTTTTATGACGGAGGGTATTTTTCTAAATGATATATATTAAGTAAAAATTGTTAAGGTATAGTTAAAAAATACGGTATGTTAGATTGGAATTTTAAGAAAAATAGTCAAAATTGTAATGAATTACATAAGCGCTCAATTTACAAACTACTTTTTATTATTAATTCCCATTAGAAGATTATTATTTAAGCAATTCCATTAGTCGTAGGACTATTGCGTTTAAATTCTCCATACGTGTGTCAGACTCTCCCGTTATTAACTAGATTTAAGGGTGTCTTGGCAAAACCTACTAGAACTACTCTACTAGAACTACTACTCTAGGTAGTTATGGTCTTGGAGTCAGGAAAAACTTCGATGAAACACTCCGGTGTTTTTCTTTCCCCCAAGTAGTACAGTTAAGTCGTCAATCACGTCAACATCGACAACACCCCCATTTTATACTATTACTAAATACTACTATTTCAACTCTATGGTCTGAACCATAGAGTTGAAATAGTAGTATTTCAACTCTATGGTCTGAACATGGCGGTCATACCTTACTTCAGAAAAGGACAAAGTAAAAGCAGAAATTTCTTACTTTTCTGGCGAATGAAATAATGCCCTGTTTTTTTTTGAAGTAATAAGCAGGTTTTTTTATAACAAATAAACTAAACTTCGTGAAATCTTATCAATTTAATTAATGCAAAATTATAAATTTTAATAAAATTTTTTTAGAGATATTTCTTTCACTTCAATATTCACTCTTTAAATTTTATTCAAAACTGTTACATGCATAGTGTTTTAAATTCCAAACCTGGTTCTAATATTCATTGCTACTTTTTTACTTTTTCCGTTTTTTAAATTTAGATATTTCAAAGTTTCTAAGAAGATTCATTAAGCTTATGTGTATTTTGTGTTCTTTCTACAATTCTAAGTAAAGCGTAATATTTTATAGTTATCATTAT